TACCTAGGGAAGTAGTGGAGTCTCCATCCCTAGAGGTGTTTAAGTCTTGGCTTGACAAAGCCCTGGCCAGGTTGATTTAGTTGGGATTGGTCCTGCCTAGAGCAGGGGGCTGGACTTGATGACCTTCTGAGGTCTCTTCCAGCTCTATGGTTCTATGTAATTATAGCTAGTCTCTGAACCAACTATCTGTGAACAATTCAAATTATTTATCCCAAGAGGCATTACCTTTAGATTTATCTATACTGTATTTCATCTGCCATTATGCTGCCCTTTCACATTGCTTTGTTAGGTCCAACTGACTCTCCAATATTTCAATAATTACATGTTGCTGTTTCATTGTTCTCCCCATACTAAGCTCTTCATCATCTTCTCCCAAATGAATCCCTTACACCTTCTTTCATGGTAGGCCTGTGCCTGAAACAGCCCTCAAGTCCAGTACAACTAAATAGACCACATCTCTCTATGGAACTTTTATCTTTCAGTTACCTTTTCACTGCTAACTATGTTCCCTCACTTTCCTTTTTGGAAAAATAATCCTGGAACCACTAGACAAGAACCAAAACTCAATAATGTATCTTTTAATGGATTCAGTCTTATATAAACTCTCTCACATGTGTCTGCCTTGTCTAATTAGGATTTTAAGTTCCTTGGAGCTAAGGCTGTGCCTTCTTGCACCGGTCAATGAAGTGCTATGTATGTTTATGGCATTGTAAAAAGAATCATTTAAATATCATAACTATTTGAAAGGCTTCATCTTCACTGCTTGCATCAGTGATCTTTAAATCAGATGTTTTAAAAGTTGCAAAATTCTAGTATACTCCAAGCAACTCATCACATGTAGCAAGGAACAGTGACAAGCAAATAAATTTGGTATCTTTGGGGGTTTAAGATGATTTTGGCAGATGATTCTGCTAGCCTACCATTACATAGTTACAATACTGAGGTAATTTCATTTGCAAAATTCTAGTATACTCCAAGCAACTCATCACATGTAGCAAGGAACAGTGACAAGCAAATAAATTTGGTATCTTTGGGGGTTTAAGATGATTTTGGCAGATGATTCTGCTAGCCTACCATTACATAGTTACAATACTGAGGTAATTTCACCCTGAACCCTGTAAGAAGTGGAATAGCAAAAGAATCACAGACTAACTGAAAAAGGGACTTGAAACAGGGAGAGTTCTTCAGAAACAAGAGAGATGGAATTATCATGGTACATAGTAAAAAATGTATTTGTGACAGGCTGAGGGCTGAAAAGAAAACGGTGTCCTCTACAAAATGTAAGTCTTTGTGTTGGAAGTGAGCTTAAGATGAATCTGTTTAGATGAGTTTTGCTGAGTGTCTAGATTACATTATTCAGATGATTTCTTTTGTTTTGATCAGTTCTCTCTCTTTTCTAAATAAAAGTTACTTTAAAATCATAGCACTTCATTTTAGATTTATTTAGCAATTTCACACCGACTGTCCAGGAGAGAAAAAACTTTCAGTCTGTTAAAGGAGGCAGTGGAAGGATGATATTTGGAGACTTACCCCATCTCAGCACTCTGTCAAAAGAACACAGACTGAAAAATCTTCTTCCATAAATTACGTCACAGCAGTGTTCTGCTCCAACAGGGATTCAAGAGATGCCTATTTTTGATTAGTCAAAAATAGACTCCAATGAGGCATAGGCAGTAATGGCCTTGACTACAGGTCATGTAAATGAACATCATCCAATCCACCAAAAGCTACAGTTCAGGGGAGTGTCACTCTATAGGTTTTATTAAATTACTGGTTTTCTCTAAATGTAAACATTTATTTTCTGTTTTTTCTCATGGTCAATAAGTCACTTGCTATAGAAGATTAAAGAAATCAGCTGCTGTCTGCGGCCAGACAAGAGACTATGATGTTGACTCCAAATGTTTGTTTTCTTTGGCTATGTCTACATGACCCTGTTCTTCAAGAAAAAGCTACACAAATTGCGAACCACAATTTGCAAAGCTTTTTCCGCTTTTTTTTTTTGGAAAAGGTTTTTCTGACATTTGGCCCATCAACACAGGGCCAAATGTCAGAAAAAAACCTTTTTCGGAACATCACTTCTTCCTCATAAAGCAAGGTTTCTTCCGAAAAAAAAAATCAGAAAGGCAAACACATTCCCTGGATGCAGCGGAGTTTTTCTGGGATACCTCTGGTATCCCAAAAAAATTCTGTAGCTTAGACATAGCCTTTGAGGGGGAAGGCAAGGCAGATAGATTATTGAATTTTTGGGGTGGATAATAAATAACTGAAATATACTAACCATTTGCTGCTATTGTATTTTTTACACATTATGAATTTCTCATTCTGCTTTACAGACTTGGAAATGTCTTGTACATTACAAGAGTAAACTGCTTTATCTACAGGAATAGAGGAAAGGGGTATACATACCATTCTGATAAGTGTGAATTTAAAATGTTCCAAGGGTATAGCACAATAATTTAAGACAGCGATTGCTAGTCACAGAGAGTGTCAGTTTCATGGATGCCTGGTTTCCTCATCTCCCTTCTAATTCAGATAGTGAACATAGTTGGTTTATAGTTTATAATCTCATGGATTGTTCTGTTTTGCCCTATGAAAATGGTACTGCATTCTATTTATAGTATATAGCCCCATCAACAAGGGCAGCCATGTGTGGGGAGCATCTGAACACTCCACGACACTGGGTAATTCTTCTTGGGGGAGGCACGTGCATTGTAACTTGACTGCATACAATTAATTTTGACTATGTAATTACAAGCTGTATTGCTTCTAGAAGATTTTTCCCTTTAAAGAAATATATAATGATGAAGTGTCACTTTGCTACTTATTTTATTTTAAATGTGTTTTAAAACTTCCTTTGGAGACACAATACGAGACAGTTAATAACAGCTATCGATTCATACGGGAGTTGAAGACAGAATGACAAGTGAGCTTACCAGCACAAACTTCACTTTTTTCACAAATTCATTGCATTAGATTTTATTTCATTTGCAGTCTGATGCCTTTAATATCAATTTTTCCCTGTTTTTAAAGCACATGAGTTTTACAAATGGTTTTGCTTAAAGTAATTCAATTTTCTTGAGTATTCACTGTGGTTGTGGTATATAGCTAGAGTCTATTAAAATGAACACTTAATATATGTTCAATCAAAACAATACAACCTATTTTCAAATACAAAAGAGTCACATTTTGCCCAACCAATGAAGTAGTGTTATAAAATTATTCAGCTGTCCTGGGATCAGCGATCAATAATTCAATTGAGGCCACTCTCTCTCTCAAACATCAGATTATAATAAAGTGGGAAGAAATAATTGCAAAGTTTAGATCTATCATCACGCCTTGTAAGAAACAAAGATGAAATGCAAAAAAATGGCAACCATCGTTATATCAAATGAGGATACTTACCAAGAATTGGGGCTCTTTTCATGCATTATGTTGAGAGAATCATCTTAAATAAGTCTGACATACAGCCATGTAAATCCAAAACATTACAAAGACTTCAAATCTTAAGCCCTCAATGCAGGCACAGAAAATCACCAAGACCATATTTACGTAAGGAGGCACGTTAAATGCACTTCACTTAGATCCTGATGACTCGCTTGGGATCAGTGGACCAGATCTTCAGCTGGTGTAAATCACAAAAACACACTGATTCTGCTTCTTTTATCCTTTCCCTCTCTTCTTTACAGAAGTACCTTTTCTAAGACGACCTCTCCTTTTATCTATATTGCAACCACCATTCTCCCTCTGGCTTCCATGCTGTAGCCCCTTTTAGTTGCTAGTTGCACGAGCACTTTGTGTATTGAATCCCAAAGTTATTTTCCCTGCAACAGTGCTGTCACTTTTCCCTTTCCCAAAGACCCGCTGTTCACCCCCACTTATCTCCAGGGCTCTCTCCCTCACCTTCTGCTGCCCTGTGGCTGCACTCAGAGTGCAAGCAAATCAGGGGTCAGGGAGCAGAGCTAATCCATCTCTCTTGCACACAGTGCTGCATGCATGGGAATGCAGGGGAGGACGGGGAAGAGGAAGTACTATATGGTGCAGTGTTTTTCCCCCAACTGAAGGAAATGCTGGACTCAAAGAAAGAAACAGCAGCAATAATCAACTAGGATGACTACACATGTAAACATGTTGCAGGGAGGGGGGGTAATCAACTAGGATGACTACACATGTAAGCATGTTGGGGGGGGGGAGAGAGAAGATGTAGGCAAATGGAGAAATGGAAAGGCAGGGATGAAATCTTAAGCACAAATGCTGACCACTTTCCACATCAGGTAAATAATGGGTTTTATAAGGCAAGGAAGGTATTATCTTAACTCCTCCAATGCAAATGAGTGGATTGGTCTCAGTTAAAAGTCAGAGCCAGTTAGCATGGAAAATTACTGTTTAAACACTGAAGCAACATTTACACAGGTGTCAGAAGTAGGTAGAAGCTGCACAATAAACCCTTGTATTCCATCAATGGTCAGCTTGTTATATATAAAGCCTGGTTGCCAGGGAAGGTTTAAATGTATCAATTTTAATTAAAAGGAGATTGGCGACCTGGGTTCAGCTTTCCTACACTTCCTAAAAATCATCCTCACTTTGTTCTGCATAAGCTCCACAAACACACGGAGTGAAAGGCTCACTGTAATGTTTACAACATGAGAACACAAAGGGACAGACATTCTACTAGACACCAAGACCAAAAAGAACCATTGTGGTCACCAAGTCTGACCTCCTATATAATACAGGCCACAGAACTTTTCTAAATTAAAGCCTCGAGCAGATCATTTAGAAAATCAACACCTGATTTTGATTTAAAAATTGCTAGTGATCCCCCCCCCCCCCCCACAAAAGTTTTCATAATAGACATGAGCTAGGATGATTTCTACCAGTTATGGATCTGGACCATAGTGTTAGATCTTCAACCTATTATACTGTGTCATCATTCATGGTTACTGTGCTCAATTCCATAATCAAAGTTAACAGAAACTCTCCCACACAAGTGAAAGTGTCTGGGCAGCCATTGCAATGACAGGACAGTGATTATTAAAAGGTCAATAAAATTGTGTTTTTAAAAAGGTACTTGAACATCCCATGGATGTTCCTGTGATAATATAGGTACCTCTGACCATATGCATTCCTGTCTATACTGAAAAAACAACAAATGGTCTGGTAGCACTTTATAGACTATACTGAGAGAGTTAAAATTCACTCTGTTCTGGAAGGAAGATGGTGAGCCCAGGCAAAGCATATTTGCATTGGAAGCTGTACAGCTACGGCATGCAGCAGGGGGATTCCTTGCGGCCCTCAATAGACCAATTCAGCACACGACACACAAAAACGAGGATATGCACTCACAGGATGCCACTTGAGAGTCCCAAAACACCAGCACAAAGTAGGTGGATAATCTGCAGTGGTTATTGCAGCCTAGGTACTGAAGGGAGAGCACAGACACCCTGCATATGAGCCCTACTGCCCGTGTAAATGTTATCTACGTCCTCCTCCCCCAATTCCTTTGTACAAACAATTTTACCAAAAGACACAGATGTTTAATGGTAGGTCTGCTAATTACTCATCTAAATGAGTTTTTCATTTATTGAAAATCAAAGATACTGTGCTAGTGTCACTTTACCTGAAGGATGGATTGCACTGGAGCGGTTGTGACATTTTTTTTATTCCTTCATAGAAAAAATATGGGTCTTAAATAACCATAAGAGTATGAGACAGATAAGTAGGAAATTATCAAGGTTATCAGTCAAACACACAAAGCATTAATCCAAGGTTTGACCTGAATTTTCCCAGTAAACACTGGACTGGCTCAGATGCTTTGTGTTAATCTTTTTCATAAAGCGTTTTAATGTTGTGCTCTGGAATCTTCTGGCTTTGCGCAGTTTCTGTACTCCAAATACATCCTTCTTCTCAAACCCATTTTTCTCCTCACTGCACATTAAAGCAAACTGCAAAAAGTGCAGTGTTCTCTAGTGTTTTTTAAACTTTTGTACTCGACAGTGATTTAACCAAGAGCCTCTTTGTCTCGCCTTTAAATTAAAGATAAGTTGATATTTATTTCAATTTGTAGTATTTGTGGGAGCAGTTTTGCTTGGTCTACACTACAAAGAAAAGTCGGAAAAAGATACACAAATTGAGAGCCACAATTTGCATATCTTTTTCCACTTTTCTTTTCAAAGAGCCTTTTCTGAAATTTGGTGCATTTACCCAGCACCAAATTTCAGAAAAACTTCCTCTTTCGACACATCCCTTCTTCCTCATAAAACAAGGGTCACAGGGATGGTGAAAGAGTGCAGCTGCTTTTCCAAAAAAAATTTGGAAAAACGGACATGTTCCTTGGACATGGCATAACTTTTCCGGGATACCTCCAGTATCCCAGAAAAGAGCTGCAGTCTAGACGTAGCCTTTGTGGCTCCTCCTCCATGATACTTATATGCACTATACATTGGTGAAGTTATGTTTAATTGAAACAGAAGTTGCACCTTGTTTTGAAGAGAGGTAGCCAGGTTAGTCTGTTTCAGCAAAAACAATACGGAGTCCGGAAGCACCTTAAAAACTAACACATTTATTTGGGCTAGTGATAGAAATGTAGCCGTTTTAGTCTGGTATAGCTGAAACAAAATACAGGACTATGTAGCACTTTAAAGACTAACAAGATGGTTTATTAGATGATGAGCTTTCGTGGGCCAGACCCACTTCCTCAGATCAAATAGTGGAAGAAAATAGTCACAACCATATATACCAAAGGATACAATTTTAAAAAATGAACACATATGAAAAGGACAAATCAAATTTCAGAACAGAAGGGGGATGTGGGAGGGGAAGGGATTCCCCAATTATTACCTCTAATACCATTAGCTCACAGACATTTACCTTCCTCCCCCTCCCCCCCCTCGCATCCCCCTTCTGTTCTGAAATTTGATTTGTCCTTTTCACGTGTGTTTTTTTTTTAATTGTATCCTTTGGTATATATGGTTGTGACTATTTTCTTCCACTATTTGATCTGAGGAAGTGGGTCTGGCCCACCAAAGCTCATCACCTAATAAACCATCTTGTTAGTCTTTAAAGTGCTACATAGTCCTGTATTTATTTGGGCATAAGCTTTTGTAGACTGGAGCCCACTTTGTCAGATGCATGAAGTGATACACCTGACAAAATGGGCTCCAGCCTAAGAAAGGCTTATGCTCAAATAAATTTGTTGGTGTTTAAGATGCTACAGGACTCCTTGCTGTTTTTACTATTTACTGTGAATTTGACTTCCCTGACTCTTTGCATGAGCTAGTCATGTATGTAGCATGGTCAACATTAATATTCTATCTCTTTCTAAAGTTCAACCCTCACCTCTGGAGTATAGTACTTCTGTGGGATTTGCTCATACTGTAACTCTCTCATTCTAGTACTGCAGAGATCAGAAGGATGTATGTCGTTTTGCACCAACACCACAAGTTTCAGTGCCCATAAAAGGATTTTGGTGACATTTCAGCAAGGTTTCACAGTGAAACTAATAGGACAATTGTTAAAGCTAGATAATAATCAATAAAAGAAATAGCAAATACATTGAACTTTTAACCATAAATTATCATTACACTTTTTAAAAAAAGATGGTTCTAATGGCCCTGCTCAATATGCAAAATTTGCTACAGTGCATGTATATTCATACACATTATATTCTCAAGCACACTATAATGCACCACCTGCTTATTTGAGAAAATATTTGTAAATTTCAACAGTCCACCAATTATTTGTATACATGATTATTCATCTGTAAATTCATGTTACCACTGGGCTATTCGTTATTTTCATCTATAGAGTTTCAGTTATCCAGTCAGGGACCACAAATAGTTCCATTTCATTTTAGTGATCAAAGACCATGAATGTCAAAATGAATAATAAACAAACAACTCATGGGAAATATTTGTTTGGATCTACTACATTAAGAGATATCAGGATTGGTTCATTAAAAATTATGGATGTAAAAAAGAATTAAATTGTCTAGATAAATTATTGCCAAATAATTCAACCAGAACTAATAGTCCCCTGCAGTTTCTGTAGGACATCCTGTGGGAACACAAATCCCTCATTTCCACTTTACCAAGATTTTTATAAACAAAAAAAATATAAAGTGCTCTCACAGGATAAGGGTAATCTAATGCAATATCCAGGGGGTTTTTTTGTACAAGATCTTCATATAGTAGTGACAATATGACTTTCTTATTAGGTAACTATGTGCATAGTTCAATACATTGGAACAAAA